ACCCTTTAGTTCAGCTTCGAACTATGCCTTTGGATCAAGAATTTACTGCATGGCTGACGAAATCTATAACGGGTTTGGCGGCCTCTAAGGACTGGGGTGCTTTGGATGGTCTCTTAGCTTTCCTTTGGGCTATCTGGATAACAAGGAACAATTATCGGTTCCGTTCAGAGGTTTTTTCTCCAGCTGGACTTCTTGCTGTGGCTGATTCCTGGGTTACTCGATGTAGTAACGCTAGGAATTTAACTGATCTTTATCAGCCCTCAATTCCTCCAGGATTTGCATCTTCTGCTCCAAAGTATTTGGGGTCTGCTGAGTTTTCTGATGAGTATGATATATGTCTTTCCTTTGATGGAGCATGGAATGCAAAGGATCAACGTGCGGGTACGGGTTGGTACTTATCTGGTACTCCTACTTCACCAGCCATACGGGGAGGGGCTCAAGCAGGTTTTGCTTCTTCCGCCCTTCATTCTGAACTGTTTGCTTGTCTCCTTGGATTAAAACAAGTTTGTGAGAAAGGTTATTCCAAGGGTTAAGGTTTTTACGGACTGCGGCTTGGTTTGTTCTTTACTCTGGGGTCACCTTTCGGATTCTATTTCGGTATGTTGGACTTTGCGAGAAATTAGGCAGATCATTGCGAACTTCGGCAAGTTTGACATTCAGAGGGTTCCAAGACAACACATTGTTCGTGCACATCAATTGGCTAGTTCAGCTCGTAGTCGTCAATTAATTTGTTGTCGTTTTTAAGTTTGTAGTTCTCTTTGTCAAAAAAAAAAATAATAATAAAAAAAAAACAAAAAAATAAAAAAGTTTGTCATGTAATTGCTTACCTCCATGTTTTTTTTTCATTTGGTTATTATATATTTATATGAGATTCGTCCAATTTTAGGATATGACATTACTTATATATTTAGAATTGGTCTCAATCTCCTTAATTATTGTAAAATTATAATAATAACCAAAGACGGTTCATTATTTTAATTAATATATAACAAATTAGTATCCAATTAATCCAACATTCCTAACCATTGGGTCACATGATAGATAAGAAGATAATCATCTAATTTGACAATTAGGTTGCCATTAGAATAGCTCTAAAGATGGTTTGATTGAGAGTTAATTTAATTTTGAGGAATATATATGCATACAAAAATCAAACCACAATAGCTGATATATAAGTGATCATTCATATCAAACTTGGTATATGTACATTGTGACTTGGCTAGTGAATGAGGATTGAGGACTACAATCCTATTTGCTGTCAATTAAGAAAAATATTAGGATATTAATGCATGCACAGTATGAACTAATAATTAGCAATGTCCAAAATAAACAATAATATTGCGTTTTATAGGTAATGTCCTATTAGCATTTGGGTTAATGCCTTATATGCAAACAGAATTGAAAACTATATCTTTTTTTTTTCGGATCAACCAAGTATTCCAAAACAAAAATCGTTGTCTTCTCCAATTTGCATACAAACCCAGATTTCGAAAAATTGTTAATTTTTTTTTTATTTTCGCATACATATAAAGACCGATTTTCCATCCCTTGTTTGCGATTATCCAATTAACATATATTGTTTTAGGATTAAAAACAATCCCAGATTCACACATGAATTCAAATTTCGCATGAACTCTTCACATATAATATGTAAATCGATTGATGGTGCTTGGAAGAAGAATAAACTACCTTTGATGAATACGTGGAGAGCGGCAGTAGGATGGATTATCAAGGATAATGGTATAGTAATTGATAGGGGAAAAGCCCATGTTTTTGCCTCTACCCCAACTCAAACAGAAGCCATGGCTGCTCTTATAGCTATAAAAAATCCAAGCCTTAGAGGGAGTAATGTCTTGATGCTCACTGACTCAAGTGATTTGGTGAAGGCTTTTAATGACAGTAGCAATGCAAAGAGGGAAATTAAGCAATTAGTGCTTGATATCAAACAGGCAGTTAGAGAGTTAGGAAATTTTGCTTTTGTAAAAGTCAATAGACTTAATGTAAAGAAGCTCACAAGCTGGCTGTAGCAGCTAGGAAGGGTATGTAATTGGCTTGCTTTCTTGATTGTGCAAAAAAAAAAAAAAATGTAAATCCATGTATATTTTCAATTTTCATTGTGTGCGAGTGTAGTGATGGTCCAAGTATGTAAATCGATGCATAGTGTTTGACCAAGGTTAAAAAAAAAATTAAAAATTCGGCCAATGATAAATCAGTATAGTGATGGTCCAAATAAAGTGAACCACAGTAGAAACATCCTAGAAATACAAAATAATTATTTAGCACCCATAGTTCCCTGTTGTATTTTTATTTCCCTCTCCTCTTTAGGCACCTGCAAACTGCATATGTTGGAGAGCTTAATGTCACAATATAAAAGTTATTTTAATGTGCTCCGCAAATATTATATATCATGATTTTCATTTAATTTTTCGTAGACTAGTTGTGAACTTGTGATATCTAATACTCCGTATCAAGCCTCAAGCGCAATACATTCAAAAGGGGTAAGTCAATGATAAAAAAAAATGCTAGGCAAGTGGAAATAATTGATTGTTTGATTCATGTTTGTACAAAAAGTGGACTTACTCAAAGAGTTACAAGTTACAACATCTGCAACGGTATGAAGACTTGGAACTAATAGTAGCATGCCCAGAAAGACATTAAAAAATTTAATGGAAATCACATAGCAGCCAGAGTAATAAAAAAAAACATTCACATTTACAATAGCAGCACATACTTCATAGTGGCTGTTGTTCAGAGTTAGCTTTGCCAACAAAGAGTGCCATCACAAAAACACAACATACATACTGATTCAGGATAAAGGTTCTCTGGTGTGGTCACGACTCCAACAAAACACCAGCTCGTGCAGTTCTTACTAACTGATGTGAGTATCAACTAGGAACACAGTGCTTCCCCTGTGCAGGGGTTCATATGGCTGTATGTTCGTATTAGAAGCTCACCAACAAGAGACTAAAGAGAAAAAAAATAAAAACAAAAGGGAGAAGCAGTGATGCAGGGCTGCACTATTTCCAGCTGACTGACTTGAGCACCCAAGTTGGCACCTTGTTCCTTGATACGGAAGTTCGTGGATTAGAAAGTGGTTTGCACTCAGGTCCCTTGCAATTGTCCCAAAACGAGTGTCCCCAGGCAAAACCACCGACACTTTCTCAAAGATCTCCACAGTCAAAAGTCTGAATAGTTTCTTACATTCTTCAGTGAAAGCTGTAAAGTTCATTGATCCAGATCTATCCGACACATCAAACTTGAATGTTATGCTGCATATAAGAACAGTAGGTACATGTAGGTATAGACAGATTCACTTGCATTAACAATACCTACGGCACCCCTCATGCAAGCAATACTTGCAAGTATAGGGAGCACCAGTAGGAACTTCAAGCAGTTTACTACATTTGTTGGAACCAGGAAACACAACAAACTGAACAAAGTCAACATCATGAATTGATCAGGTTCAGGTATAATGACTTGCAACCAATGCTTCCCTACTAGGAGTATGTTGTGCGGCTGACAAATCAAACGCTTAAGAAGTCAGGAGTCTTTTTTATTCTCTTTTTCGTTTTTTAGTGTGTGTGTGTGTGTTGTGTGTGTATAAAGTTGGTATCAGACAACAGATGCATTTTATGTATATATATAATGACAAATTTGTTTCCACACCACAAGGGTTAATGTAAATGAATGTGACACAGAGTGTAGAGAACCTTTCTCAGTTTGATGCTTCCAATTTGTCTAATGACATTCTGAGGATGAATTTTAAATTTCCCAAATTCATGCCATTTGGTCACTTAACATGAGCATATTTGCTGCAACCCTGCAGGCACACCAATGGTTTTTTCAAACTTAAGCAGAAAATTCGGGGATTGCAAGCGTATAACAAATTAGACAAAGTTGAGAGGTGGACCATGCACACAAGTTCTCAGGTTGTTGAAAATGCTAGTTGGCAGAGAAAATCCTGTTTGGAAAACATAGAGAAGCACTAAGGCTCAGAATTTTTGTTTTTTAACAAACTTAGGTTGGTGTAACATAACACCTTTTTAAGCCGAAGGTTTCAAGGTGAGGAAATTTTAGGTTATTAGTTTCAGCAAAATCATCCCAAGCAGATATTGTCATTGACTGCTCTATACTTAACAGTAAAAGAGCCTAAAGTCGGACAAATAACTTTCAGTGGAAGAATTAAACTGAGCAGCAGACAACTGGCTAACCAGTGGGTTTGATCACAATTAATTTTGCGCACTGGATGATCAACTCCGTGCACTGTTGTCGAATTTAAAGCTCACTAACAAAAAAGATTACTCCCAATACATCCGCAAATAGGTTAAAGACAGGTGTAAATGGCTGTCAAAGAAAACTATTTGCAAAAGATTTATAAGGAAATACCATAGCAATCATTTTGGTTGTTTGTGTGTGGGATAGCTGCAATTGAAACATACTTGGGTAGGACAGGTGCCTTATCAGTACTTAGCGTCTGTATTATGGCTTGGCCTCCAAAACACATCTAGAAGTCATCAGGCCTGGCTGCATACCGACCAACAAGTCAACAACTGGTCTAAGTGATGCATTGGCTATTTCATTTTCCTTGACCTTTTTGCAGGAAATCTTTGTATTCCTCAATCTGGTTCTAAAACATTGTTACAGCATAGTGTTTTCTGTGCATTTATGGCATGTAGACAGAAGCATTAGTTGCAATGCCTTTTGCAACAATTATACAAGGAATCATGTCCACCTTGCTCATGTGATTGTTTTGACTACAAACTAATGTACCTAAGCTAGTTTGGGCTCATTCTTTGTGTATTCGGAATGAATCCGGTAAGGTAGTTCTATCGTTAGCATGCATTTCATGTCTGTAAAGCTAATGGGGAAAAAAAAACGAGGAGCAAAGTGGGGGTTGGATAAAAGCCAGGAATTTGTATTCAACTGGAACAAACAAAAAGTTAACGGGGTACAAATAAGCAGCTTATAGAAAATCGTATAAATATTTAGACCAATAAATGAATCCATCTATTTTCAACTTGTTTATCCATACCATATAACAATATATATCGATGACTCAATCTATATAATACGGAGTACAATACTACACAATAGCCTTAATCACAGCTAAATAACTAGAAGACATCAACTTCCTATAGACCATCAAACATCAAAGTGATCAAAGTCTACATGGAAATTTTATTTTGGTAAAATACAGATTATTTTTTAGTCTCTTCGTTGAATGTTTGCCTCATTTCTCCTTATAGGGATTTAAACTATTGGTGGTGCTAGATGTTCTAAGGGATACAGGGATTGCAAAATGGTATTCACAGTACAAAATATAGGCTGTGTCAGTTACAACACAACAGAGGAGACAATTTTGAAGGGCCAAAAAATTGTTGGACAATGTTCCTTATTTGGCAATATATAGCGTTTTGTGATGTCTTGGAATCATTGCCAAAAGTTGCTGCTGCCTAAGGCCTTCCATCTCCATATACGTGTGGCAAGTGAGAAGTTTCTGAAGACAAAATGATCAGCTCCAAAATATAAGGAATAAAGAAAAAAAAAAAAAGAAAGAGATAAGTAAAACAGATAAATGGGAAATGGCAGCACAAAGCAGAATAATCCACATGGTGATGAGAAAGAAACTATACCTGATTTAGACATGTTACTTTCAGCTCTGAGTTTGACACATCTGAAGTTTGTTGCTCAAGAAGGTCAGTCAATTTGTACGCAACTGTGCCTAGGTGATCTTCAGCATTTACTAGAGCTCATGCAGCATAATCTTTTAGGTTGTCCAATACCCTGAGGCATAATTCACACAAAAATCATAAAGGAAGACTAAAGAAAAAACATCACAAATAACTCAGAGAGTTGTGTGTGTGCTGTGCGTGTGTGTAAGTGTGCAATAATTATACTGTAACATTAAATTTGTTTCTGCTCACTTAGAAGATAAGACGTCTTGCAGTATTCAGCGGCAGAGTAAAGCTGGGGTCTCAGATTCTTGAGTTCCTGTAAAGCAATAGAACAAAAATGATCATAATTAAATAGACAAGACAACAAAGAGTAAAAATACAATGACGAACAGACACAATAATTGACTTCTTAGAAATAATGAAGATTTAGGGATTACTATATGCATAAACCAATGAGTTAGCTGCATTAGCAGCTTTATTATTGCTTCCCACTTCTCCCAAGTGTAATTGCTGCTTAACAAACACAGAGTAGAAAGGAAATCACATGGATCAAGCTGAGAAAAAGGTGCAGATGTTCCTCCAGCAGGAGTGCAGGACACGGCTAATTCATTCAACATTACACACTTTAGTTATATTTACAATAAAGAGCTAAGAAAATGTTCAGCACATATATCCTTCTATGTTTCACAGTATTCCTTGGCATAATTATTTAACCTTTTACATTCAAAACGAAGTAATAGGCCGTAGTAAAAATATAATGAAATCACTCTTTTCAGTGAGATGCTTGGAGGCATAAAGAGCTCCATACAACATATTAACTCAAGATTCTCAATCGAGCAACCATCTACCACCCCATCAAGATTTCTAATCTGGAGGAAGATGGAGACGACAGATGTGGCTACAGCATAAATATACCAAGTTTTAATTAAATAGTCACAATTATATCTTTATTAGAGTAGAAGTGCATATACATCCATAAATCCATAGCTTATTAAGCTTCAAACTTCATCCTACAATGAGCTCTGGACATCCTATGAGGCTAGGAAGCACTATTAACCATCAACTCACTTTATTACAAGTATAGCACCATGTTTGGATAGCTATTTTACTCAAGCAAAGAATTGTCCTTATCACTTTTAAACAGGAAAGGGACTTTATTAAGCTCTAGGCATTAAGCCCCTCTCAAAACACACCAAAACCGTTCGTTTTCTCTTTAACACTCCCCCACCTTACATCTTTGTATCCCAACAACATTAAGCTGACAATTTTCCTTAACAACCAAAAGAACTCCTCTATCATATACATATAATCCCTAAAGCACTCGTTGTAACAGAACTGAACACGCTCAATGTAGTTTCCTGAATGCAACATTCGTCAATTCATCAAGATTTTCCCTGAATACAACAGTTTATTTCATCGTGCCCTTCCCCGAATACAGCAGCTAATCAGCTATATACATTTCGCATTTCTAGTAAAGCACTTGCTTATCTTGCAAACATAACTCGAGAAAGTGAGCGCCAAAAACAGAAATGTGCCTTCCATTCACATCATCTCGATTCAAACCAAAACACCATCAGTATAATTCTACTAATTTCCCATTCAATATTAATTGTTAAACACTTGGAAGCATTTGTCCATAATCTGTCCAAACTACCAGTACATTCTTTAAGATGAATAATGTTACAGTACATTAATTTTTAAAAATGCAATTTGTATGAATAAACAATAAATCCTACCTCCGATTTTTATTATTTATTATTTGCAACTTTGGAATATATAAAAATCAAGGTAGTATAATAATAGAACTACAGATTACAGGAATTAGTCTATATTTAGCAAGAAGTTAATGAAAAGAAATTATTAGACAAAATATAAGATTTTAAAAAAATCCAATTATAGCCAATTAATGATTCATCATGTGAAAATCACTTTGTAATAATTGCATCATCAAGAAAAACAAATAATAAGTCTTACAAAAAAAAAAAATCAAGCTCAAAAACATGGAAATCCAGATCTAGCAATATGAAAATGAGGAGAGAGAGAGAGAAATTACCTCGTCATCCTCAAAGAATAGCCGTTGGTACCATGTCCTCAAACATTAGCTGTTGACTTAATAAGTTAATATGATATGGGAGAGAGCTTCGAGCTCCTCCAATGGCAGAATTTCTGGGTTTGACTGAGAAAGAAGAGAGAGAAACAGAGGAAAGAGAGAAGAATTGTATTCATGTATTGCATGTTGTATTTCTACTGTTTAGGGTTACTAAATGCAGGAGTAAAGTATACAACTACTCCCTAAACTTAGCCAAAAGTTGCACTTTACTCACTAAACTCTTAAAAATTGCAATTTACTCACTACTCAGGTGACTGGAGGTCATTTTTCAGGTAGTAACCTGATATAGCAGGTTAACTCCCTAAACTTTGTCTAAACTATTATACTAATAGGTAAACTCCCTAAACTTTGGTATTTTTTTTATATTTTTTAATTTAACAATCTAATCATACATTTGAAAGCCAATGGAAACTCTAAATTTAAATTCTAAAACTAATTAAAGTTTTGACTTGAAAGGAAATTATTTATTTATTTATTTTCCTTTGCATTAGTTTGGTTCAAATTTTTTTTTTAATTAGATAATCCATATACATTAACATCGTAGTAGAAAGAATGACTTACCAAATCAAATAATCATGAATCGGATTGTTTTTCGAACAAGATGAGCATATTCATTGTGTGTCACTATACATCACAAAGTAATTAATTTGAATGTTTGATATATTATACACATTAAACTCAACAAAATTTATAATTAATAGACTTTAGCAAAGAACATAGTACTAAAAATCCCTTATTGTCTCCTTAAAAAAAATCCCTCATCGTCGTATGAATTTGCAGTTGCGTGTGATGATTTTAAAAACAAAAAACCCTACTTAAAATTCCAATTTTTTGTGATACGATCATCATGATCTAGAAAATGATGGTTGCTTAATTAATAGCAGTTGATGTGGCTATAAAGTTTTCTAACTAAAAAGCCCAAAAACACAAAATTTTAAAAAAACCCAAAATATTAATTAAAAACCAAAAAAATTGAACTAAACCAATTCAAAGGAGGTGAATAAATAAAAAGAAATAAATAAATACATAACTTCCTTCTAAATCAATATTTTAGCTAGTTATGGAATTAAAATGTTTTGTCACTACTATATATTATATTAAGGGTTTTTTTTTTAAAAAAAAAAAGAACTAAAGCAGACTGAAAATAATTATTGAAGGAAGAGAAACTATAATTAGCTATTTATTAAAAAAAATACAGTGCTTTACAGAGTATTTTTTTTTTAATTTTTGTGTGTGTGGGAGCTTTCTTCACTTTCTATTTTACAAAATAATAACAGAGTATCAAAAATGCATTGGAGTATATATATTGATAGCTGTTGTTAGAATTTATTTTATATAATAATCGATTTTTAATTATTATTATTATTATTATTTATTATTATTATTATTATTATTATTATTATTATTATTATTATTATTATTATTATTATTATTATTAAGGAGTAGTATTTTTTGTAATGGTTAGTTAATAAAAAATCATGTGTGGAAGTTTAGGGAGTTGTCAGAAAGTTTAGGGAGTTGTCAGAAAGTTTAGGGAGTTCTTGCATTTTACCTGTTATTGAAGGTCAAAACTCAGGTGAGTGAGTGAAATGCAACTTTTGAAAGTTTAGTGAGTGATCAACAACTTTGTGCTAAGTTTAGGGAGTGACTTTATACTTTACTCCTAAATGCAGGATAAATTTACCTAAACGGAGAATAAATTATTTTTTTAAAAAAAATTATATTTCAATTTTATCCTTGTTTTAACTTAATCCCTTACACTCCTAATTATATAATCATTTCTATTGTTTAATTTACAACTATATTTTAACGTATTCAATCTTAATCCTATTTAATATTAAATACAAGTGCACTACAACATTTTTTAGAGGTATGAAAATTATATGCTGTAATAGATGAACAATTAAACAAAATAAAATTTACATCTTATACGGCTAAGATTTTTGAAGGTCTCTAGCACTCCTCGTATACGATTTCCGAGGGTCTCCAATACCCTGCGGCTAAATTTCTAGGGGTCTTTAGTACCCCTTCGGATAAGATTTCTGGGGGTAAATAGTACCCCGAAAAATATAGAAGGGGGTACTTATAATGAAAAATTACAACAATTAAACAAAAAAAAATCAAACGAAAAAAATCTAAGACCGGATGGTTTATGAGCGGTGAACGACTTCTTCATCTCTAGGGCTCTGATTGAAGAATTTTAAAGGAAATGGTGAAATGAAATAAATTACAGAAAAAAAAAAATGGTGACTGAAATGAAAAAAATTGGTGAGTAAAATGAATTGCAAAATAAAAAATGTGAAAACTAAAATCCAAATGAAATGGTGAATCAGTTTTTTCCTTTTGAAAAGGGTATTTCAATCTTTTTATTATTTTTGTATCATTAATTAATATTTGCATTTAGGTTATTTTGTATTGCATTTAGTACTTGCGATTGTTTATTACAGTATTTATGTTGGTGGAATCCACATCATGGACACACATGGACACTACATTATTTGTCCCAAAATCTACAAGTTCATAGACTGGCTTAGGGAAATTAAGGCATTCAGACATCTGGGCCAGTAGAGGCGGGATTTGAATGCAAATTTTGCTCGGCTGGAGCCATGACCTGTAATAGGCAAAGCTAAGCTTAAGACGATATAGCAGCATAGACAGAACGTTGTAGTTAAGTGTCCCACCCCTGCTAGGCTATCAAAGAGAGGAAAGAATGTCAAGTTGGCAAAGTCAAGCATAAGCAGGCCAAAGAGCTATGTGAGGAAGGGATAACTAAAAAGACATAATTCATGCAGTGGCCCTAGTTGTCTAACACTCTAACCCATCAGGATGGCCTGTTCTTGCACACTGTAGGAATATCAAAGAATGTATAGATAAATAGCATATGCAAGAATACAACAGCTAAAGGTAGCATACAAAGAGCTAGCTAATGTGTTTATTTTTACCTATAAAACTTGAGAAGTAAAGTTGATAGGCAACTCATTTTTGGACTAACTAGTTGAGCCATCGCGCTCAAGCCAAATATTAAGTGTCAGTGTAAGTAAAGGTGTAATAATATTAATGGTTGTATTTATCGTTAAGAGTAGAATGAAATTATTGTTGTTGTTTTGTTAGATTATAATTTGATGTTTGATGGAAAATGTAAGAATAATAAAACAATTTTGTAATTAAGTATAAATATGTTATTATTCATATTGTCTAAAAGTATATTAATATCGTATACATGTACGTCACCTCTGTAAAAATTATATTAAGTATTTGCTCATTCTTATAGAATGTATTAAACCCTAAAAATCATACAAAAATACTCACTTGTAAATAGTTTTCTCACCCCATAAATGTCATATACAATTACCTCACTTTAAAGTAGTTTGCCCATCTCTAAAAATCATATACAAATTAACTCACTCCTAAATAAATTGCTCGCCCGTAAAGAATTTGCTCACCTTTAAATATTTTGTTCACCCCCAAAGAATTTCCTCACTCCTAAAAATCATATTCAAATTATATTACCCTAAAATATTTTATTTTTTTTTTGACAAAAGAGCTATCAAATAAAAAAAAACAATAAAAAACAACAAACGTCAACCCAAAAACTAAAACAGAAAATACAACTGACGCCGCCGGGCACAACCAGCCAACTAGTGAGCAGGAGTAACACACAAACGAGGAACCTTTTAAACCTGACAAACCAAAAGAGACTGAACTGAATCCCGCAACTCCTGGATAAGCCACCAAGCAGAAATTTCCATTGAACTAGAAGGAGGAAGAAGAGTAAGGAGGGCAGCACAATCTGTATAAACCCTGATTTTTAAAAAGCCTTTACAAACCCTAAAATAGTTTATCATGCCTAATAAGTCGCTCACCCTTTAAAAATTGTATACATCAACAAAGGCGGCATCTTGTACCGCATATTCTGTGTGGAAATAAAAGCTACCATTAATTACTAATAATAAGCACTATCCTCTATTACACATCAATATTCATCTTGCTTAATTGGTTCTAATTTCACATCCTGAGACCGAGCAACATTTGTCTAGTCGGTATCCTTCAATCGCTTCAAATCCTCAATATTATTTTAGACAAACATGATCATCAGCCAGCAGCATCAAATAAAATAAGCAAATAAACACCACCACTTTCCTGCCACACATATTGAAAAATTTGAATTCAATGAAAATAAGCGCATTACAATGTATGTATTTATGGAGCTTGAGTATAAATTCAATGAAAATAAACTCACTTAGGGCTTGTTCTCATTGACTGAACTCAGTTGAACTGAACTGAACTGAACTGAACTGAGCTGAACTGGACAGAACGAAACTGAACTGAGCTGAACTGAACTGAATTTATTAATTAGTGATTTTTAACTACGGATTAGTGATCTTTGATTATTTATTGATTATTTATTAGGGTCTGTTCTCATACATTGAAATTCAGTTCAGTTCAGTTCAGCTCCTAATTTCTTTCTCTTATAAAATATTCAGTTCAGTTCCGTTCAGCTGAGTTCAGTAAGTGAGAACAAGCTGTTATTATACATATGTGTTTATAAAAATATACATATTAAAATATTTAAGAGAAATATACTATTATTATTATTATTTATTGATTATTATTATTATTATTGTTATTGTTATTATTATTATTATTATTATTATTATTGTTATTGTTATTATTATTATTTATTGATTATTATTATTATTATTATTATTATTATTATTATTATTATTATTATTATTATTATCGTCGTTGTAATAAGAGCTTAAAAGAATGAAATTTGGCTTTATATCATTAGCAATATCATTAGATATAAGCTGAACTGAACTGAACTGAGCTGAACTGAAATGAAGTGAACTGAACTGAACGTATGTGAACAAGCCCTTAATGACCTTGAGTCATGACTTTGCATCAATTCAAAACATTCTAAAGCCAAAATTAAA